GTTTTTTTTTTGGCAATACAACTAAATGTTTTTCAGAAATTGAAGACTTTTTTTGAGTTAAAATCTTATTTTCTTTTTTCATTTTCATGGTTTCATTTTCTAAAACATTTATCTTAGAAGTCAATGATTCATTTTCTTTTGATAAACTTGAAATTACTTTCTTTTGACAATTACTTTTCAAACTAAGTTTCTTAAATTCAGTCTGTAATTCATCAAATGTAAAGGTTTCGTCATTTACCTCATTTTCGTTTCCAAGTGCCATTAAGCATAGGTTAGCAACCTCATTTTTGCAAACTTCAATTTCTGTGTCGCTTTAATCACTATCTTCTCCCCATGCTGTAATCATAGCTTTCTTCTTGTCCTTCTTGAATTTTTTCTTAAGTTCTGGACATTCTGATTTCTAGTGTCCAGGTTTGTTGCATTCGTAGCAGGTTACTTCAGATTTTTTGTGATTTTCTCCTCTTTGAAAATCCCTGTTGTTAAAGTCTTTTCTGAAAAAAATTTGTACGCCTTGTTTCTTTCTCACAAACCTTTGGAACTTTCTAGTGATGAATGTCATTTCCTCATCCTCATCTGAATCATCTTCATTATCCTCTCGATGTTTCGAGGTGGGTTTGAAGGCTATTCTTTTCTTCTTGTTGTTGTTCTCCTCTTCCTTCCCTTGTTGCAATATGAGCTCATGAGTTAAGAGAAATCCCATTAACTCATCTAGATTTAGCTTTGATAAATCCTTGGCTTTGGTAATGGCAATGAATTTTGTCTTCCAACTTTTTGGCAATGACCTAAGCACTTTTCTTACAATTTCAGCAGTAGTATATATTTCTCCAAGATAAGTTAAACCATTAATAATATTAGTAAAGCGAGTAAACATTTAAGGAATAGTCTCATCAGGCTTCATTTTAAAGAATTCATAATTATGCACTAGCAAACTGACTCTAAATTCTCTAACTTGTTTGGTTCCCTCATGAGTCACTATAAGCTTGTCCCAAATTTCTTTTGCAGTTTTACATGTGGAAATTTTGTTGAACTCGTTGGCATCTAAGGCGCAGTACAACATGCTTGTAGCTTTGACATTAATTTGAGCCATTCTAGTATATGATTCATCCCACTCATTTTCAGGTTTTGGTACCCTAAGTCCATCTACGGTTTTGGTAGGAATTTTTAGACCATTGCAAATAATTTTCCAACATTCATAATCATTAGATTAAACATGTATGGTCATCCTAGTTTTTCAATAGCTAAAATTTGTGCCGCTAAATAGTGGTTGCCTATTGGATGCTTGTCCCTCGGGTAAAGAATAACTAGGGGATGCCATGATCTACTCTAAGACGGTTAAGTCACACAAACTAAATTTTAGGCTCTGATACCAATTGTTATCCTAAGTAGGCAACCCAAGAGGGGAGTGAATTGGGTTATTAAAAATTTCACAATATTAAAATTAACACAATATTCAGAATTTTAATAAATAAAAAAAACATAATAATAATTATCAAAAGTAAGAGAAATAGGGAGAGAAAATCAAACACTGAGATTTATAGTGGTTCGGCACGCCAGGCCTACATCCACTCCCCAAGGAAACTCCTTGAGAATTTCTTTACTATCAATTGAATAAATACACCCCCAAGCTTATGGATTTGGCACAGGATTTACTCTTATCTATTAAGCCTCACTCAACAATAAATGTCTTACCCTTACAAAATCTCTTACAAAAATAAGGAATAAGAATAAGTGGTACTTAAACCCTCTTTTACAATAATTCTCTCACAAAGAATAGATATGAAAGTGTAAGAACAAAGGCTAGACTTAGATCTCAAAGTGAAAACGCAGAATACAATATACTCAGAATTTTGGAGCTCACAGAAAATTTTCTCAACTTCTTGATTTTTCTCCACATACAACACTTTTATTTATACACAAAAATATACATGTTGGACGCTCCTTGCTAACGTCATGGCTTACATAAGCACGCTCCTGTTGTCATGGCTTACATAAGCACGCTGCTGACATCATGGCTTACATAAGCACACTCCTTGATTTTAAATAGTCAGCAAATGTTAATAATTAAAAAGATAAAAGAAAAACTAATTTTTTTCTTTCCTTTTTTGTTTTTTCAAACATGGAACCACCGTTTTTGTAGACAATTTAATACAAAGTTCACAACTTTCAAACAAGCAAATGATTTGCTCCATCTTGTTTTATTATAATATATAACTCCATCTTTTTCTTCTTGTTTTATTATAATATGGTATAATCAATGTAGTGTAAAAAATTTAATTGCTCACGTGATGTATTCTATTTATATTATATGCATTCTATATAATATTATAATCAAATATTTGCATATATAGTAAAATCTCTTTAAGTACTCCCTCCGTCCCAAAATATTAGTCCCTTATTCCATTTTTCATTGTCCCAAAATATTAGTCCCTCTTCAAAAATCAAGTACAAAAATAATATAAATTTCCTATTTTACCCTTCTTTTAAATTAATAAACAACATAAAAAGTACAATTATACATTGATATTCTCAAAAAATGTACTATCAAAAGGATAATTTTGAAAAATTAACTTTTTTCAAATGCAATAATTGTACTACCAAAAAAAGTTGGATTCCTCAAAAGGGACCATTATTTTGGGACGGAGGGAGTAATATTTATAATAGATCTGATCATATATACTATTTTTCTGTATATGTTGTAGAGATTTTAAATTAAATATAACCTTCCACTCGATATCAATTTTATCAAAAGAAGAATAGTAATCAGCCTAATTATTCAAAAAGTGAATAGTAAAGTTTTCAAAAATAGTTTTTATTTAAATAATTTTTAACAAATGTATCATACAATATATATTTTAAATGGATAATATTTTGTGTCAAATAATATAAAATATGTATATTATTTACAAATTTTCAATTAATATTTTAGACATCATCAAAATTAAACAACATGATTAACATTTGTGTACTCAAAATTGTAAATTATCTTATGTCATAACTCTTACGCAAAAATAGATTAGTATAGACTTGTGGTGTTGGATTAAACATTAGAAGTGGCCCAGAAATTAGTCGGCTCAATATTTATTTTAATGTGACATTCACTGATCATTAAAAGTTGTCTTTATTTGTTTGTGACCGGTATAAACTAGTTTAGGAGTTCTAATATTGGATTAAATATTAAAAATAAGCTTAGAAAATATAATTCGAGTAGATTTTTTTTCAACAATTCTTGATTTAAAATACGTCATATTTTAATAACTCAATATCATAAAACAAATATATATAATCTTAGATACCGTTTGGTAACATTTACGTTTTCAATTTTCTGTTTAAATTTACAAAAATTTAAAAAATTCAAATAAAAACTTATTTGGTAATTTTTTGATTTATAAATCAGTGGTATCAGTTTATAAATTTGGCCAAAAAATGTGTTTCCGTTTTGAGTTTTGAGTTTTGAGTTTTTTTTTTTTTACCACCCAACACTAGCCACCACCCGCCACCATTTTCCACCACCCGCCCCCCACCACCACCTGCCACCACACATTCCCCACCACCAGCTACCACCACCACTCACCACCCACCTGCAACCACCACCCACCACCCGTCACCACCACCCACTTGCCACCCACTCGCCACCACCACCCACCCCTCGCCACCACCACCACAACCACCCACTCGCCACCCACTTGCCATCCGCCTACCACCCGCCACCTACCCGCCACCACCTGCCACCACCCACCCACCTGCCACCACTACCCACCACCCACCACCACCACCACCACCCACTCGCTACCACCCACCACCCGCATCCACACTCACTTGCCCACCACCATCCACCCGCTATGATTACCACCACCACCCACCACACGGCCACCGTCACCCACCCATCACCATTACCACCCGCCAATCCACCACCCACCTGCCACCACCACCACCACCACCACCCATTCACTACCACCCATTACCGTTACCGTACCCACCCACCACACCACCACCCACCGCCTTACCGCCACCACCACTCACCACCCACCTGCCTGCCACCACCACCCACCACCACCCACCACCCGCCACCGTCACCCACCCACCCATTACCACCCGCTACCCACCACCCACCGTTACCATTTTCCACTACCGTCTTCTGCCGCCACTTGCCACCACTTGTCCTTTTCTCACTCTTTTTTATATTTTAAATTTTTTTTAAACATTTTGTCAATTACCAAACGCGTTTGTAGTTTATATTTTTTTAAAAAAATAAACAAAAAATAAACAAAAACCAATTTATAAAATTTTTGTAAATATAAACTAAAAACGTAAACGTTACCAAATAGACCCTTAATGTTCACGGTGTCTTTTTATCAATTAGTAAAAAATAAATTTTTTGAGTGCTTAAAAAATTAAACATCAAGAGAAAAAATATTTGAAAGATGTAAATTGATTCATATATTTTAGTGATACAAAAATTTAAATTTTAAAAGTGATTAATTAAATTTCTTTTTCAAAATTTTAAGTTTAAATTTTTAAATGGATTAATTTTGTTTTTGAAATGTGTATATCAAGACATAATAAATAAATAAATAATTCAATAAAAGTTAACAAACGGAATTTTTTTTTAATTATTTAAAAAATTAAACATCAATCGAAAATATATGAAAGATGTGAATTAATTTTTATATTTTAATAATACAAAAAATTTAATTTTAAAACTGATTAGTTGACTTGTTTTCAAATTTTTAAATGAATTAATTAACTTTCTTCTTGAAATGTGTAAATCTATAAAAAAAAAAAATTTAATAATTCAATAAAAATTAGCCAATATAAGATTTTTTAATTATTTAAAAAATAAAAATTCTAAAAATTTAGTATGAAGATATTAAATTTCACAAGACTCTTCTCATTAGAAACTCTATTTTCCCTTAATATATAAGCATAGATGTGACTAATCAAAACAGACCACATTAATTTTAAGATAACATTTCATTCATAGTACCCCCCAAAAAAAAATATTGCATTGAAGAACTAATTGAAGATGGTATTCTTCCTTGATAGTAAAATAGTTCATGAACCCATTGGAGATTTAGGAGATCAAAACAAAACATAGGTCTTTCTCTGCTAAATGCCTTTTCTCCTACATTTAAAGAGGCCTCCAAAATAGGATCATCACAAAATTCAAGAAAATTTGTAAGATCAAACTAAGAAACTTGAAATTTGAGTCTTGATTGATTACCCAAAGTTGAAATGCCTTAAAAATGTCACCAAAACAACACTATGGTCCTATGGAAAAGAAAGTTTCTCCTTGTTTAGAATCAGAGGATGGCAAAAACTAAAAGCGTACAGGAAGTCGACAACTTCTGAGTCTAGTGGCAATCCCCCCATCTGCTTAATCAACTCTCTGCAAATCGAACAAGATAACATAGCGAAAATTTATGAAAGATTCGAAAATATTAAGAGCTTCAGATTTTGAAGAAGGTAAAATGGGAAAACAACCACTCTGCTTGGTTGAGTTTTCCAAACTCGTTTTTCGAATCTTGTTTGAGAAGTCAGAAACTAATTTGACAAAATAAACAATAAAAAAAATTTATTTTCGTCCCAAAAACGTGAACCATATCAAAATGTGTTTTTCATTTTTTTCCCCAAACTAGTTTATGAAAAAAATTTAGAAAACAAATTCTGAAAACTCAACAGATATAAGCATATGCAACTATTATTACATTTTGTAAGATTGTACCTCCTGTTTCCCTTCAGTCCTGGTTTCCACCTGAACTGGGGCTTTTCCATCTTTCGCTGTCGTGCTGCCTTGATGACTCCCTGCAGCATACACAAATATCAGCAATTACATTGAAAGCATTTGATAAACACGTGGAGTAATGTAATTGTAATGCTTCAAAAACCACGACATTTGAACAAGTCCAGTATGCATTAGAAGGTTAGTGACAAAACATGAAAATTAAGGTTGTTCCAAAAATTCACAAAGAATATTATCTGACTGTAAGGAAAAATTGGTTTTCCGAACAAGTGCCAAAAGGGCACAATAAAAAGACTAAAACAAGAACACAAAACACTTTTTATTGAATTCAAAACACTTTTAACTTATTTCAATACACTTTTCATTAAAATCAAAACACTTCTTTAACTTTTTCACCTACTTTCAAGACACTTTTCACCCCAATCGCCATACTAAACAATGCCTCAGGGGGGCTCTTTAGCATTTTCCAATAAAAATTAATAGAATTTATTCATAATTCACTATACACAGAGTAGATTCGTTCCAAATTCCATAATATAGTAGATAAACTAGCCATTTTACCACGTGTTGAAATGCCCCTGAATACGAATCGCAAAAAAGAAACATCAGAATACATTTTGGAGGGTCAGTTGATCACCTGGGGGTACTGATATTTGATTACCAGAACCAAACCCATGATTGGAGGTCCCCGTCATGGATAACCTCCTTTGAAATTCCCGTGATGATGCAAAATTGCTGGCCATGCCTGTTTCTTTCTCTCCACTCGGTATGTAGCTCTCACCAGGGACTGGTGCAGTAGATTTTGGTACAAAAGTTGTGGACCAAGATCCTCCGTTTGATCCAGCTAATGCCATTATCACATCTGCCTGAAATAGACACCAAAGCAAACTGGTAATGGCATCCAATTTAGATGTGACAGAAGTTCACGAATGTCAAGTATACTTGAACAACAATGCGACAGACACCACATTTCTCACTGCATTTCTCATCGCCTCTCTTACAAGGCTGTGGGTCGATGAGAAATGTGGCGTATGTATCCTTTTCCATATTTAAATGATAACAGCTATTGGGGTAGTGTGGGTACTGATAAGTAAGGTATTTTTGGTACTCCCACATTTTGTGGCTTGTTGCCCTAATTTTCTATGTATTTAAAATTGAGAGGGTTGTTGAGAGAGAGTGTTGCCTCCGAACCTTGTAAATTCCTCTGTGCTTTTTCTATTTTTATTTTTTTCCCATCTTGGCCTTTTCCATAACAAAACATCCTTCGCACAAAGCCACACTCATCACATCACAGGGAAAGGACTATAACCAATAAAACAATATGAGATCTTAGGAAGCTAAAACAATAGCAAATAAATTTTGCAAATCATTGCCTCGGTCATTCCTCGTTTGGGAGCTTCCTTACAGAGCCAATGCTTTTAATTCTATCTGGCCATGCTAATCTAAAGCAAGAATGAAGATAAAAAGAATAAAGGAAGAAAACTTGAAAAGGATGGTATTGAATCAAAAAACATTAGTCATGTTACTTATATAACTGAAAAGCTACATAAATTTTTTTATAATAAACAAACACTCCTGATTTCCTTTTCTCAAAATGATCAACAAGAAAGATTTCAACTTATAAAGGAGCTTCTCTAGCCCAACAAAAGATTGCCGATTCCTTTCTCCCCAAATTATCCACATCAAACACAATGGAGCTAATTTCCACACCTTATATTTTTGCCAGCACTCACCCCACTCCACAATATATGACATGTCAGACACCACTCAAATGCTTTTAATATCAATTGTCTGGCTCTAACAAATTCCATTGCAAAAGCAAATGGAAAGCCAATTCAGCAACACTCCCAGGACCCTGAAAATTGAGAACACGAGCTACAAAACCCAGGGCATCCAACAGTGAGGAATTAGTTGTTATCTAACTCCAAGACTCTGTACAAATTATTCACTCATTAAAAAAATAAATTGCATTCATCAGTAGCATTCCATTCTTGCTAACCATATGGTCCAGAATGAAGCAATTTTTTCATTATCACTGCCCAACTACAGAACACACCTTCAGAGGAAAGAATAGAAACGCACATCCTCTTTTTCTGCAAGGAAGAAGTCCCACAGCATTGACCAACATCTTGTAAAGAACATTTGATCAATAATTTTTCCATTTTCATAACCCCTCCAAACAAGAATATCAGCCACACCTTTATTAAGCTCAGAAAAGTAGGAGTTCGACGATATTTTCTACTGCTAATCAAGGATTCTCTTTTTATAGAATCTATGGAAGTTTTAATAAAATTAATATATACATGTATATATAAGGAAGCCACACAGCCCTCACCTTCCCCTCTACCACCAAGTATGGAAAATGAAAGGATAGAGTATACGAGAAGTGTAGAAATAAAATCACTCTACTGATTATATTTTAGCAAGAGGTTTGCACTGTCCCAATGAGACATGCTTGATTTGGTGACATTCCATAACATAGAGTTTCAGCCCTCTAAATTGAACAAACAAACAACATGCCATATAATTCAAGCATACTTGTAACACAAATTTATAGCCACATTGATTGCGACAGAAGGTTAGTTACACAGTACAGTCAGTATGATTTCATAAAGGGTCATTGAACACATATCTCAATGAATTTCTACCAATTTATTCGAGGATTTATAGGAAATGTACCTAACAAAAAAAAGAGGAAAAGATTCAAAGGAAAAGCAGCCATGGAGGGGGCAGCCACTTTGTGCACATGATGCCAAAGAAAAAGCATATACACAATCCACCCCTCAAGAAACCTAAAATAATAGGGACTAACACTAGACAATATCCTTTAAAATAAAAGCAATACAGCAATTATGGCTTGGCTGGACAAGGCATATCCACTTTGGAAGCCTAAAACAAAAGTGCCTCTATTTTCCACAAGAAGACCTTTTTGACAAAAGACGAATGCTGATAGGAGTGTTTAGGATCTTTATTTACATCTATTATAAGTTAGCATGTTGTTGGTCTCCATTTATTCATGGTTTATCTATTTTAGGAGTTGAGGTGTATTGTGGTAATTTTTTCCATTTTGCCAAATGTAAAAGATAGGAAATGAGATGGTTGGAGTGAGGCCTTTTGGGAAGATAGTCGGCAGTGAGATAGCTGGAGAACACCTTAGGCAGAGGGCCTAAGGCAAGGAGAAAGTTGAAACAGTAGAGTTAGAAGACATTAGGCACAATCCAAACAACGCTTCCACGAGGGCCTAAATTTTGAAGAGGGGATGGCACCTTATATATTCATGGAAATAATAAGCAAGTGTCAACACAGGACAAGCCGACATATAATATGATGTTTCATGAAGATACAATTTACCTCTAGCCTCACCTCCACAGATCAATCTTTTTTTATTAGTATCTACCAAGTCCCATATGGTTTGTAACTTAACATTTCCTTACACAAAAATCTCAATGGGTTCTCTAAGCAAAAATGAATCACTTCTTCCTAAAAACTAATATTAGGCAATCTTCAAACACCAACTTCTAACCAAAAATCAAAACGGTAAAGCATCAGCTACATCAGGAAACATCTTCATACAACCAAAACCATGTTTCTCCTACTAGATAGGAATAAGCTATAAAGGCCAATGCCAAGCTGTTGTAATTTCGGAACTAACCAAACCAAATTTCTCCCGAGACCATACATAGAACTATAAATTTCAAACAACTGTGGAAGGAACTCAGCCAAGCTGGCCTATCTTATATGTTCTCTCACGAGTCAATTCACTTGCGCAACTCATGAGCACGAAACATGGCATAAAAATTTATTAATAATCAATTGCATTAAGCAGAAATGCCTTCATTACTCAGAATTTGGAAACAAGCAGAAAGCAAACCTTGTTCGGGTGAACATCATCAAAAACATGGGCTTGACCACCATAAAATATAGTCATCTGGCGACTGGAAGATATTGATCCATGTTGACTGTCAACAAACAGATAAAAATTCGTGCAAATGAATACTCTTCATACTTCAAAGCATAAAGGTCGAGCCTAACAAACAGCAAGAACAATAAATTGTATCAAGTTAATAACCTAGGTCTCGGAGTCAAAGATTCTGGCTCGGAATTATGAGTTCCGGACTTCTGCTTACTACCAGGCAGCAGCACCCCAGATGGGTTTCTATCAGAGACTCCACTGCTAGCATTAATGGAGCTCAAAATTCCAGACCCTTTAATTCCAGTGCGAGACCCTTCATCAGCAGCTGTTTGAGATATAGCCGAAGGACCTAAATTGGCATCCTTGAATCTGTTTGAAGGTACTTGACCCCCAAAAGTAGCAACTTGGCCCACCCGTGGAGGATACTGCATCGAAGGGCCCACGTTCAAGGGAATAGCTCGCTCCCATTTGGACCCACTGGCATCGGTCCTACTGCGAGTAGGTGGCTGTAATACACGAGAAGTTGGAGTTGGCCTCATCGGATGCATACCAAAGATCATAGCCTCATCATGGGAATGCCTAGGCCTCTCTCCCCCTGCATTTCGAAGTATCTGAATTTAACAAAGATTAGAAACATCCGAGGATTTTAACTACATTGATTGATCCAAATACGAAAAGTAAGTACATGAATACCTTCATCAAATGCAAGCCATCGAGGGATTCTGGTCCCGCTTGTGGAAACCCATCTCTGGATGACCCCGTGAAAGCTGAATCTGAATTACTTCGCTTATTTCCAGCGAATCGGTTACTCATCTCAGTCCCGGTGAGATCACTCCTAGGGCCATAGAATGGAACCCCCTCAAAATGATTTGCAACCTGTCTATCTATCATAGTTTGATGAGAACAACAATCAAACTTCAATTTCAATTGATAGAAGCCCCACTTGATCACAAACACTCTTCAATATGTGGCAATTCAATAAACAATTACAATTCCCACTTGATCATAAACACTCTTCCAAAAGTGGCAATTTCAACAAACAAGTACAATTACAATAACTCATGTTCACCCATTGAAGTCACTAATAAAATCCACAAGAGAACAATATCTATTAACCATATGCACACTAAAATCAAAGAGTTCGAACTTGTTTAGTTCTAGAAGAAGTAACACCATACAATGAAAAAAAAAAAAAAAAACATCAAATCACATTTGCAAAATACCCATACAAAACACTTATATGGGATCCAAATAAAGAAATGAGGGGGCCTGAAAAGAGAAGCATGATTGCCCCATTGATGTGTGTGTGTGTGTGTGAGAGAGAGAGAGAGAATCCACAAAGGCTACTAACCCCATTGATGACTTCATCTAAACTACTCCATAACAAAGATAACCCACCCCACTAGGAGACAGATAACAGGAGAATAGAAACACAGAGAAATATATATAAATCCATATTTTGAGAGAATGCGTACAAGCATTAGATAAGAATCAATAAATGCCCATTAAACTAGAGAGAGAGAGAGAGACTTTTGTGCATCATCAGCAGAAGAAAAATCGAAACAACCCACTAAAGTACAGGCAGTAAAGAACAAATTGCAAGCAAAAAAATGTACTACATACCAGAACCCAGATCAGAAGTGGCGGAGATGGGTCCACGGCCACCGCCAGAAGAACCACCAACAGAGGCGGAGGCCGCCAGCGACGCCTCCGACACCCGCACATCTCCGCCGACACCCGGCTTCACCGTCGCAGCAGGAGACGAATCGGAGGCACAGCTCCGACCCAGAAAGTCATGAAAAATGGTGGGTTTAACTTCGTCGTTGGTGTTTTTAGCATTGCTCTCTCTCTGAGCCATCATCATCATCAACAGCAATACGGCCATCTCACCTGCACACCATCACCCTTCTGCTGCTGCTGCTGCTGCATAGCTAGAGAGAGAAAGCGAGTTTTAGAGAGAGAGAGAGAGTGAGAGATCAAAAGGGTACACGATTTTCAGAAAAGATAATAAATAAATAAATAAAAAGAATCGGTAGAGATGAAATGGGGAGCATTAAAAAGCAAAAGCTGCTCACTTTCTCTCTCTCTCTCATACATGTAATGGGTCTGTCTTTCTCTCTCATCAATATATATACACACAGAGACACATAGAGATGTGTATCTACTATCTTTTTTTTTACAACAATGATTCATCCCACTAAAAACACCACCACTAATAGCACTAATGCATTAAAAAAGTAAAAAAAAAAAAAAAAAATACAACTCCAAGACCAAAACATCACATCATTAATGGCGGGACCCACTGTCACCTAATTAGTAGGAGCACTAATTAGTGCTCCCAAGCATTTTTCTTTTTTTTATCTCTGTGTTGTTGTTATTTGTGTGTGGTCTGAGTATATTGGGTAACTGGGTTGGGTCTGTTCTCTTCTCTACCAATTTTGTTCTGCCTACAGAGAGAGAGAGAAAGTGATAGATAGAGAGTGAGAGAGTGATAAAGTGCGCCGTGGGGTTTGGGTTTAAGGTACAACAGTCTTTTATTTTTATTTTTTTATAAGGACATGTCCAATATCTTATCTAAATTGCTTTTTCACCTTCAAGTTTCTCTTTTTTCCTTTTATGCCCAAAATTAAATTGTCTATAGTAATACAAAAAAAAAAAAAGTTTATTGCTCTTGATCTAATCATAAATTAAAAGTTTCTTACCAAAAAAAAAAAAAAAAAAAAAAAAAAGATATATTACACATTATCCTCTTAAACTATTTTTCAGTATCTCAATTTATTCACACATCAATTAAAAATGTTACATTTTGTCACTTTGAAGTATTTATTTGTGTCAATATGAAACTTTCATTAAAGATTCCTTATGAAAATGGATTAAAAATTAACATACGATTTTCACATAGCATCTCAAATATTGTGAAAGACTTAAAATGATATTCTTTTTTTTTTCTCTCTTCTTTTTTTCTTATCCACTATAGCAACTAAAGGTTTGTTTTTGGTATGATTTATTTTTAAATTTTTTTTACTTATTACCAAAAAATGTGCAGAAAAGTAGAGAGGTAATGTAATTCAAATAAGTCAATAAATTAATAAATTGTTTATTTTTTATGTATCCAAAACAAGCCTAAGTAAATAGCCATAGTTGCTGAAGTTGGTAAAAGAAAGAAGCAAAGAAGAAAGAGATTAAGAAAAAAATAATCAGTATGTTTGATTTCAATTTTCTGAAAATTAAGTTTTTTGTTTTTCATATTTTTTAATTTTTAATGAATATTTTTAAAATTTTAAGCAATTTTTTTTTTTAGATGTACCTTATTTAGATATATCTAAAAAGTAAAATATTTGTGAAAAAATATTTTAAAAAATTAATAAATACACAAAAATATAATTAAAAAAATACACTGAATTTTCATATTTTATTTTATATTTTTGGTATTTAGTGAATTTTTTAAAGATTTTTTTCAAGAAAATTAAACTTTTTAAGTATATTTATGTTAGTTGTGTCTAAAAATTAAAAAAAATTGCTTAAAATATTTAAAAAACAGAAAAAATAAAAAAAATACGAAAAATAAGAAAGTAAAATTTTCTGAAAAGAGTTTTCAAAAAAATAAAAAACAAACATAATGAGTAATGTCACTTTAAAATTTTGTAATATTAGAGATTTTACATGAAAAACACATATTAATTTTTATATAATAGAGATTCCTAATAGAATTGATTCAGATTAAACTCTTATGGTGATAAAGTGTAATAATTTTAGTTTTGAGAGATGAATTGGTTGTAATAATTTAAGGGATAAAGTGTAATTCACTCAAAAAGAAGTTGAAGTTTGAAATCAAATAGAAAGGATTAAAAGGTAAAGAAACAATGCAAGGATTTCAAGAGACTGATAAGTTATTTAGGAGCATCTTTTTATAAAAGCTTGCGACTAACCAAATTAAAATGCAAAATTGTAAAACTTTCAAGGATATAAGATCAAAATATGCAAATGTTGTCAAAAACAAGTTGTGCCCACACTACATGCAACTAATTAACTAGTAGCAAAGTGTGGGATAAAGAAAAGGACACGTGTAATGAAGATTTTCGTTGGTACGCGGAGTGGAGAATGGGGTGGAATTTCACAGCATAGATTCTCATTCTCTCTCTCTCTTCTCTATGTATATATTAATTTATAAAAAATAATAAAATATTTTATTGATATTTTTATTGAAAAAGACACATGTTTTATTGATATTTTTATCAAATGTTTTATATGAATGTAAGACTCATATAAGTTTCATATGAATTTAATATTCATCTGAGATATATAATTGAGAGGGTAATTTATAAACAAATTAGGCCGAGTTAGGAAGAGTCTTCTTTGAGAGTTGGACCGCGTAATGGGCCAAGATAAGGGCTGGTGTAGCTCAATCTTAGGCCAAGAAGACATCTCATATTTTGGGTTTGGGCCGAACTATGGATCGAGGTATCGGTAGAAAGAGGACCAAGCTAAACGATAGCTTTACAGGGCATCATCTCGAAGTCAAGACTGATAGTAGTGCTTAAAGTATCACAGAGCCGAATTAACTTGACTGACCGCAATGTTAGCCGAGGTAAAGATGTCAGCCGAAATAAGTGGCCCTGGTGGTTAGCCGAGGTATTGGTGAGAAAGGATGTCGGGCTTGGTATAGCTCGGCCGGTCTTGGTATAACTCGGCCGGGCGCCATCTACATCATTACTTAAGCATGTGACCGAGGTAACTTAGTTCGGTGTGGTTGACTGACCGCAATGTTAGCCGAGGTAAAGATGTCATCCGAGATAAGTGGCCCTGGTGGTTAGCCGAGGTATTGGTGAGAAAGGATGTCGGGCTTGGTATAGCTCGGCCGGTCTTGGTATAACTCGGCCGGGCGCCATCTACATCATTACTTAAGCATGTGACCGAGGTAACTTAGTTCGGTGTGGTTGCAGCAGCTTATTAAAATGAAGTAGCATCAATGGCGAGGGTCGAGCTGTACATAGCTCGGCAGGGTGGCATCCGTTAGATCGGCTTTCGATCACACGGTCCGAAGGGCAGGGGACCGAGATAAATCAGTTCGGGCAGGAATGTATAACCGAGGTAAAAGGTTCAACCATCTCACTTGGCTTGCAGTGATAAGACTCCTAGTAGGACTCTGCTAAGGAGAGTTAGAGTCCTACTGGGATTGTGTAAACCATCTCACTTGGTTGGTTGTGAGTAGGAGTATGACTCCTAGGAGGACTCTGCTAAGAAAAGTATAGTCCTACTAGGATTGTGCAAAACTATCTCACTTGGTTGGTAGTGAGTAGGGTGTGTAATTCCTAGGAGGGCTCTCATAGAGAGAGTTGGAATCCTACTAGGATTGTGCCAAAGTAAAGTCTATAAAAGCTCATGACCAGACCTTTGTACAGGTATCCCAATTTTTACTCTAGAATACACAGAGCTTATTGTCTATTGTCTAGTTGCTGACTTAGGCATCGGAGGGGTTTCCGGCACACACCCGCCGGCTAGCTCACATTTGTGTTTTCAGGTGGCAAAGCAACGTTGTTTGGAGGAGTGCAAATGTAATAACCCTCACCACTGCTTACCGTTAAACATTGATTACCGTTAAACTGAACTGATTGTAACTGATAATTGAACTGATTAAAGTACTGAACTGACTGACTGAAAACTGGAACTGGATTAAATGAGTACATCTGTTTGAATTGCATTTTTATCTGTTGATTGATTATTTGATCTGTTTGTGTTTTGTGTTTAAACTGCTAATTGAAGGCCTTATCGGCGGCCGAATCGGGAATTGATTGGTGTTTTATGATCCTCATAATTAATGTGATTTTATAGTGTATTTATCTGAAAGCTGATTAGGTATGATTAAATTAGATTAAAACGAGTTAATTGCAAAGTTTGCCGTAATTACCAAATTGCCACCCTTAGTGGCCCACTCAATATAACATGTGAGCCTTGTATACACTTGAAACAAACATTTCCTCAGCCCTTTCTTGAGCCTTGCCGACCTAGAGAGTAGAGAGGGAGAGAAATTGGTTTGTCACCTTGAATTGCTCGGAAACTTGAAGAATTGCTTGGTAATTGAAGTGTAGATTGCTAAATTGGACCTCTAGACTTGCATTCAAGGAACCTAGGTAAGGATTTCATCTTCTCATTCTTGTGTTTGAACTAATTCTTGCATGGTCCATGTTACATTGTAGAGCTAAGTCATGTTTTAGTTCATACATGTTGATATAGAGCATAATTCATGCATGCATGTTTGAATTGTAGATGTTTGAGTTGTTTTCATGGCAAAAGGTTACATGCATGTTCATAATTATGTATAAGTCCATGATTTCACCATGTTTTGAAAAGAATTGGCTCCTTAGAGCATCAAATTGGAGCTTCAAAATGATTTGAATTCATGCATGATTGCATGTCCTCCATGTTTATGTTATTGGTTTGAAATTGAGTGTGAATTAAACACCCTTGGGCTTTGATTTCTCAAATTGAGCTTTGAACCATGTTATTCTATGTGTTTATAAATGTTTTCCAGAAAATGGGCCCAAGAGGATTGGTTTTGATGCATTTAAACTTAGTTTTGGCTTGGAGGTGCAATCTGGGTTTTCCAGATTTTGCACTTCCGCTCGAGCGGGGAAAGTAACGCTCGAGCTTGAAATCCGAGCATCCAGCATCTCTCTGCACTATTTTATAGTCCGCTCGAGCGGAGGATTGGGCGCTCGAGCGGAGTCATGTCTCAAGCTCGAGCGGGCATCGAGCGGAGATTTCACCCATCTAGTACTTTTACAGTACGCTCGAGCGGGAAAGCTTACGCTCGAGCGTGTACCTTTGTTGCATGTCCGCTCGAGTGGGGAAACATGCGCTCGAGCGGGAATCTGTTTTCTGAAAATTCCGAGACTGTTTTCTGATCACATCTTTGCATCCTCATCCCATTCTAGGCATTCTTAGACCTAGTTTAAGGCATCTTATTGAGGATATAGATGTAGAACACACCGAGGCAAATTAGGGATTAAGTTGTTATCTTACCCAACTGTGTAGCTTAGTGTGTGTTCAACCTGTGAACTGTGTAGGGTTGGCGACTGGGGAGACACGCTCTAGCATACTGTAGCCCAAACTCTGTGAGTAACAATTGTGTAAAGA